CTGGAAGTTTAGAACTTCCAGAACACGGCCACACAGCCCGGAAGACCCACACCAGCCATCGTATTCCAGCCGTGAAAGCCTTCAACAAATCAAACCAATCTTTTTTTTTTTTAAGCATTCTTTCTGAGAATTTTTCTGTTAATGACCAAAGACAACAATATTCCACCGAAGGGCCAGATGTTCACAAGTGATCGGTTTGCTCTCTAAGTTATTCTTTTGGAATCTTGCCCATAAGAGTTGCAGTGAATTTTGAATAACTATGGAAAACTAGCCCTAGCATGGATTGGTAGCTAAAGCACACTATGGAGGAATGCCCTACACCATAAGAATTACTATTAGATTTCCATATGTTACAGTGAGAATACAGAACAGGAACGAGTGGGCCTAAATAAGGACAACTTGCTGATGCGAGGATGTACTGTCAGAAACACAGAAACTGTTGTCGGCATTGTGGTGTACGCAGGTGGGTGCCATGGCTGGATTGTGGAGGGGTGAACACTCTGAGAAAGAGGTGTCTGCGCATTCATTGGGAAATTAGGAAATACAAACATTCACATTCAGGAAATACAGCTCCAGAACTCTTAGCAATTAAATAGAAAGGATGATACCCTGTGAAAACTCTTATTGAGCCCAATGAGGTATGGAAGCAAAGTTCTGTACATTGCAAGTCTATTGGTATCTTGGTCCATGCTACTGGTCCAACATCTTAAGTAATGTTTCATTCATTCAGTCATTCAGTCATTCATTCATTCATGGAAAAGTCCATACTTCCCTTCAGTTCCGAAATCCAAAGGCACTTTATTAGCAACATAATAAAAATAAAAATTGGGTATGTATAGTATGTCATCCCTGACTAAACATCCTGAATAAGATCACACGAATTCTGACACATGGTTTAGTAGTGCAGACTGGAATGGGATTTATTTGTCATGCACTGAATCCAAAGTGGAATCCTTTTGAATCTTCATAAGTCTCCTAAAGGACTTATGGAGACCAGAAACCCAACTAGTGTGTTTACAAAAGTGGATCTTCTGTATCTTACAAGATGTCTTTGGTGCTGTCCCTAATGTCTTTCGGGTTCTAGGGAGAAAACTTTTCACTTCCCAAGACTTTTAACACCTAATAGATTTTTTAAAACAATTATTCAAGAAAAACCTGCTTTGTCTCAGATGCCTTCACAATCTGACTCAGTGCTCTTAGGTATTACAGGGTAATTATAGCATCCGATGGCCATTGCCAAGGTGATCAAAAGTCTGTCCTCAATCCTGTAATATCAGTTCAACAATGATTGAATGAAGCTAGAAGGAAGTAGGCATCACTAGTGAAGAAATGAGTTTGGCCTGGATCTGAATCTCCTTTCAAAAGTTCCAAACGTTCTTTTGCTCAAGAGCCTCTATGACTGGCTTGCTTTTAGTGAAGAGCTAGGCAGATGGAGAGCCGTGGGGCTAGCCACGATCCAGAAATAGTCCCACCAGGTTCAGGTTAGATGTTGTCCCAGTGCGTAGTAGTCACTTTTTCTGGTTTGCATTGTCATGATGTCTGTTGTGCATTATCTGTTCTATCTTACAGAGCTGACACTGATGCCATGATTTATCTAAATTGTAGGCCTCAGGATTCTCCCTTCCTGATACATTTATTTGTTAGATATCTAGCTCTCTTTTTCTGCAAGAGCTTAAAGCTGTTTACGTGTGAATTTCCCTTCATTTTATCTCTAAAACAAGAACCCTGTGAGGTTGAAGGAAGCTGGTCTGGGAGATCATGGTTGGTCCAACATCATCCAATGAGCTTCCAGGGCTCAGTGCAGACTTGAAACCCGGTCTCTCCATTCCCACTCCAGCACTTTAATCAATGTTTCATGTTGGCTATCCTTTCTAAATTATATGACCATTTTTATCCAGTAAGTGTTAAAACAAGTTCACATGATTTAGGAAATATTATGTAAGCATTGCACAAGTGGTGTACAGCTCTCCTCCTCTTAATGTTTTACCTGGCATGGAAGCATCCAATATGGGTTTTTTGTGTTTAAAGGTCACGAAACAAAAGCGATGTTAAACACAACAGGCGCTCGCTACAAGCGAAGTAAGCTGGAGAAGAGAATGAATGGGGATATCCTCTGGTGTGTGCTGCTTCTAATTGTGATGTGCTTTACAGGGGCGATAGGTAAGTTAAAGAGAAAGAGCCAGTCAACAAAATTGGGTGTTTTCTCTTTCTGTTTTTAATTAACACAAACTATAGGCTGTCTTTTGTTGACTTAGTTTTGGACATCCCCAAATCCCGATCCTCTGCAGCAAGAGGATTGTCCTGGAGCTATCAACTCAGCCGGAACCAGATGGCTCATTTAAGTTTTCACATTCCCCTATAAAATCACTGCCTTTGCTGAGCCACTTTTTGTTCAGATGCATGCTAGATTGTCCACGTTGGCTCTCCCAGCATGCCGATGACTTTCCCAAAGTCCCAGCAGCTTAGCTTCTCTTTGCTAATTTTCTCACCAACATGCCTTTAATCTTTAGCAACCTTTAAATGTTCCAAGTGTTTAAGACCAAGCTTTGAGACTGTGACCACAAAATATCTGTGACCACAAGACACCCCAAGCTTAATTTGGCAGGTCTCAATCTAGTACAGGAAGTCCTTGCTTAGCGATCACAATTGGGACCGGCAACTCCATTGGTAAGTGCTGTGGACGCTAAGCAGAAAATCACGTGACTGTGATGGAAACATCGCATGACTGCGACTTGCGATTTGTTAAACTTGATTTGTTCACTTATTTCCCCTTTAACATGTACTGTATATTAACATGTATATTCATATTCACACACACACACACACATATTTATATTTATATATACCAAGTAACAACACTATGGAGATTTTAACATCAAGTAATTTAGCTTAAGACCAAAACCTTTACTATAAACCAGCTACCTTGATATATGCTGTTCTTTCATTTTTTCATTTCATTTCCAATGCTATATATTTAACTTTGAATAAAAAGTCAAATCATATCACTTGCAACATTAATATCCAAAACTGTAATTAATATTGATAGGATAGCCATTTTTATCTATATTTAATACTCTAAGGCACCAAAATAATAGAATATTAAAAATCTAAGTATATTATACAAATATCATTGTACTGAAATAACATATTGTATTAAAACTGAGAAGATGGAGCATTAAAAAAAAGATTTTAACCTATGAATGTCTATAAAAGATATTGCTTTATGTAATTGTATTAGTATAGACTGCTAATATTGGTCTCTTTCTGTTGCTTCTATATAAATTGACTAACATTATCCAGAGACTGTTTCTGACTGTGTGAAAAGGCTTTGAAAATATTTCAGGCTAATATCACTGTATGTTCCTAAGAGTGTGTGTGGAAGACCTGCTGAGCTCAGTGACTTTTTTCCCCAAAGAAATACAAAGAAATACAAAAGTAATAATCAGATTACTGATTACTTTTGAAAAGTGCATAAAACCAGATTAGTTTAGAACTTTGCTGTCTACGGTAAGCCAATATCTCCACTTCAAAGAGCAATAAATAGTATTTATTGTTTAATATTTAATTTTTCCAAATCTTTCTTCCTTTTCTTTCTTTAAAGGGCATGGACTCTGGCTAAGTGCCCACACAGTTCCACCCCTATACACAAGTGGGAAACAGCCACCTGCAGGACTGGGAGGTTTTTTAATGTTTTGGACGATGATAATTTTATTGCAGGTAATTTCACAGCTTGTTCCATCTCTCTTTTTTCATTTATGTCCCTGTGATCCTGAAGTTCCTTGCACTGGGCGGAAGCGACCCAGGCCGTTTTTCTCGTAGCTGTGAGCAAGATCTGGCTATACAAAGAAGCCATCTTTAATCTGCCTTTTTTGTTTTTTGGCTCACAGGTCTTGATCCCAATTTCTGTTTACGTTTCCATTGAATTTGTCAAACTGGGGCACATCTTTTTGATCAAACATGACATCGATTTGTACGATGAGACTTCCGACAGAAAGATTCAGTGTGGATCGCTGAATATTGCGGAAGATCTGGGTCAGATTGAATACATTTTCTCGGACAAGACTGGAACCCTCACGGAGAATAAAATGGTGTTTCGGAGGTGCAGCATTGCAGGATTGGAGTATGGCCATGAAGAACATGGTATGACCGAGGCAGTACAATAATTGGTTCCTTTTGGTAAGGTAGTAAGAAATGAAACTAAGGTAGGAGCTTCACCCTAGATGTAGCAGAGAAGACACTAAGCTTCTAAAGCAGTGTTTCTCAACCTCAGCAATTTTGAGATGCATGGACTTCAACTTCCAGAATTCCCCAGCCAGCATGCTGGCCAGGGGAATTCTGGGAGTTGAAGTCCATGCATCTTAAAGTTGCTGAGGTTGAAAAACACTGTTCTAAAGCTTCAGTTTCCGTAGTTCCCTAGCCAGTGCAGGCAAGGGTTCAAGTCCAACTCTTCTGATGAGTATTAAAATGAGAAAGGTTGAAGTAGTTTATTTTACTGTCTTCAGTATATTGTTGTTGTGAACCTCTTTCAGGGAAATATATTATTGTTGTGTAATTCCTGCCTGGACAACTAAGTGGGACAAAAGCATTTTAATTAAATAGTCAACACTCGGTAGTTCAGGCTGCTAACAGTCTGTAACAAATATTATGACTATGTTTGTTCTTTCTGAACATGTAGGCAATGTATAAATTGTGTACATCAATGCACTTCATCTGCCCCAATGTTCACAAATTGGCCCTTGTTCACAAATTATAGTTCCTGTAGCACAGTGTTTCTCAACTACATCCATCACACCTTGGCAACTTTAAGATGTGTGGACTTCAGCTCCAGCATTCCCCAGCCAGCATGGGGATAAAGACATATTGTGCCAGTGTCATCTTCACTGACTGTCAGTCCTTTCATGGTCCCAATTAGTGCTAGTACTAATCTATAAAGCCTTAAAACAGCTTGAAGTCAAGCTATCTGAACCAACATCTCCTCCCGTATCTAACAAACAGGACCCTAACATGTTCAGCTGAGGTCCTTCTTTGCATGCTTGTGATCAGTGAGGAAAGGTTCCCCATCTATGGAAGTCTTCCCAGAAGGCTTTGCCTGGCAATATCTACATTATCTTCTTTCTGGCACCACATGAAGACCTTTTTATTTTTCCAAGCATTTACTGTTTGAGGACTTTTGTATTCCATCTATAAATTGTGACTTTGTGCTATGGCTGCTGTACTGTCCTTTGTGAAAGGTTTTGTACTGTTTTAAAGCTTTTGCTTTTTGTATGTTTCAATTGATTGTTCTTCACTTAGAGAAACTCCATAATTTGGTGCTATAAAAATAGAATATCAATTATGGACAATTCATGCAACTATTTTTCTTTGGGTGTGTTCCCTCCACCTCTAGCAAAGAGGCTAGAAACATATCAAGATTATGAAACAGACGAAGATGACGGAGCCTTCTTCTCCTCCCATTGTTCACTGAAACATCCATCCAGAGCGAAGTTCTTTGGCCGCAAATCAAGTGGATTCCTGAGTTCCCGGGTTTTTCACAGTACCAGCACCATGGGACTTGGTGGTTGGAGACAACTAGCTTTCAGTAGCCCTCTTGTAAGTGTTCCCAAATCAACCAATCTTGCTCAAGAATCCAGCAGAGTTACCAACATGTTTGCTCCTACAGATCCCTGTTATTTACACCCTAAAAAAGAGGAAAAGGCATCCGACTTGGTAACAATTATAGCAGTTATTTGCCTAACCTTCCAAAGCAGTTCTGATCTGCTGCTGGTGACCACCAGAGTGAATGTCTAATTAGTCCATCTGCCATGCTACAACAATAGGATCTGAAAGCAGAGCTTCAGCTTTCATTTGTTGTGTTACAAAAATGTCCATTTATCAAAGTAAGCCAAAAATTCTGTCTTTCTAAGAACAAGCAAGGGTCTAGGACGGTGTTTTTCAAACTTGGCAACTTTAAGATGCGTGGACTTCAGTTCCCAGAATTCTCCAGCCAGCACACTGAAGGCCACACATCTTAAAGTTGCCAAGTTTGAAAAAAACAGCTCTAGAAGATGTTCCTTTCTCGTTTCCACTCGGCCCCTGCTGCCAGTAGCCAAAGCTAAGCGAAAATGGATAGCTGACTCCACAATTTGTTTAGTATCATGTACGCACTAGAAATTCTTTTTAGAAGGACAAAGTCATCGGCCAAGGACAAATCCTGATTATTTCTGGCTTATCAGAAAAAGAGTGAACTAGAGCTCTGATTTAGCTTGATTTGTTTAGCATTGTGTCCATTGAGAGAAGGAAACAGGCAGGAGTGATGAAGCAGTGAATATCAGCTTCCTTGTTTATTCCCAGTCGGCCGCTATTCTTGGCAATTCTAGCCAAACGTGATATAAAATGCAATTTTCCATGCTTTGGAAATATAGACTTTCCAGAGATTCAGCTGCATCCCTGCTACTTTTAGAAAATACTTTAAAAAAAAAAATCAGCACACCACTGAAGTGGAAAAACCTTACCTTCACTCTTTTTTTTAATCTTGCCAACAGGAGACTGATGTTGTGCCAGACATGCGACTTGTAAAGAAGGTTAATCATATCTCATTCAAGGCATATTCGTACACGGAAAATCTCAGATCGATCCCAGAAATAGTGTACATCACTGAATTCTTCATTGCCCTGGCAATCTGCAACACTGTTGTCGTTTCAACACCTGACCAACCACGACTTAAGGTGAGTATGGGGAACAGAGGATCCAAGATGTCAAATATCATTGACCAACCTCTCTTCAGAATATTATTAGCTGTTAGAGGTCCCCTATGGTTTTTTTTGCAGTGAGGGAATTCAAGCAATTGTTTATCATGAGATGTCTCCTTCAATAGTTGATTGTATTTGCTTGGTGGAAGAAATTACTGGAAGAAGTCGCTGCTTTGATGGAACTGTGTAGTCCAAGAAGTCTATACTTAATGGGCAACCAATTAGACAGGAAGTAAAAATTGACAAAGCTATTTCCCATTTTCTTGCGACCTTTTTACATAGATCACATCAGAATGATAAGAGGATTCTTTTTTTTTATAAAACAAACTAATTTTCCAGGTTTGAAGACCTCTATATGCTGGTTTATAAAAGAAGACTGTAGATCAGTGCTTTTCAAACTTGAAGTCCACACATCTTAAAGTTGCCAAGGTTGAGAAACACTGATGTAGATGGTACAAATCTCACTGTGATTATAAAAGAGTACAAACCTGAGCATTTTTTGTGCCCTGGTGACATAAAATAAACTTATTTCTCTACCACTTTTACATTTTTATAAGTAAGCTGTGATAGTGTATGGCAGAATCTTCAGCGGCCACTGAAAAATAAAACCGCTGTATGAAGACTTTGGCTGAGCTTCTGAGATAATGTGGTGTGAAATATCACCAGTACATGGTACCAACAGGACCCAGTTTTATTTCTCTCTGTCATCTGAGTCAGATGACACTGTCCTAAATTTGTCACTAAACTACTAATGGACTAGATAAAAGCAAATAAACTGAAGCTGAATTTGGACAAGACATTACATATGGATATATCTTAGGTGTGGACTGCAGAATGTAACCTACTTTGCTTGGACTGGCCCCCCTTGGAAAGAGCAAAGATATTGATGGGGGCGATAATTGGATTGAGCATGCCACCAGGCTCTTGGTAGCACCAACAGTCTTTGCCAACTTCAGCTGGTGCCTTGTGATGCTTGGTTTCCAGTTGTTGTAATGTGCCATTCAAGGTCTGCTCTCAGATACCATCCAGAAGCATCCATTAATGTAGAACCCACTGCTACCGTTCTATGTTACGATGTGGCACCTGATTACAGCAATTCTGAAAAAGTTGCCAGAGATATTAATATATTTAAAGCTCAATCCAAGAAGCTAGTATTTCCTTTAAACTCTAAACCATTGTTCCCCAACCATGGCAACTTCTAGCAACATGGACTTCAAATCTTGCAGTGGACTTCTGTACCTTCAGGATACGTTACGTTTATTAAATGTGGTTCATTGTTTTAGCTTCCAGTTAAAATCTATTATATTGTTTTCTATCATTATATTTTTTTATTCATTTCAGTCGTATCTTTTACATACCACTAATATCGAAAGGATCAAATGAAGTGTAGAAACTTTTTTCAAATAAATAAATAAATAAATAAATAAATAATATGAAAACCCTGTTTTATTACCACAGAATAGGTACACTGGGGTTTTGCTCTAACCAAATTACTGGACAGGGAATCCCTTTCAGGCTATTTTAAGAGTATATGATTATTTTAGAAAAAGAAAAAAGGTTGGAATTTGTTTACAAAGAAGGTCATTCTACTGAGTTAACCTTACTTTGCTGAAATCTTACTTACAGCTCTGCCTCCTTATTGCAGTGAAGTATGCATGTTTAGTCCTTATGCATGCTTATGTCTGGCTCTTATTTTTCCTGTTATTTCTTCTCCTTTACTGCCAGGCTGTGGACTTCCAAAGGATGTGACTTGTGCCTGTTATCCTTCACTAACACTTTAGCAACTTTAAGATTTTACTTCTAAGAAGATCTTTAAACTTTATTTCCCTCAAGACCATAGAGCAGGCTGCGTCCTTCAGCCTGGTGCTTTTCAGTCATCATCTTCAGCCAGCAGCGGCCATGCTGGAGAAAGCTAGCCAAGGCTAAATAGGACACCTCTGAGTTTTTGATTATACCCTGTGTTGAACCATATTGATTGTGGCATGGAATCTTGCCAGTCTCTTCTGTGGAAGAGTGTAACCTTTTTGAATGTTTATCGATCATTCCTTGTTTTACAGAGAAGATGGTCTTCCATGGTCAGAATGCCTGCTTTAAACCTGGGCGAATTTAAAAATATATTCCAAAGGCTGTCGTCAATCCGCAGAATGAGCCCGCAAAGCTCAGGTTCATCTGGAGGACATTTTGAGAGCCCCAAAAGAGCAGGAAGATTGTCTGTTCATGTGAAGTTTCCATCTTCTTTACCAGTACAGTTATCTGACTCTCTGGAAATGCAAGGTTTGTCCCCTGGCCAAAAAATGCCAGATACTTTAAGTGCACCTGATGATCGTAGAGAAGAATTGTTGTGTGAATCACTAAACGCCACTGAGATATGCTACGAGGCAGAGAGCCCTGATGAAGCAGCCTTAGTTCATGCTGCCAGAGCTTACCAGTGCACCTTGAAGGCTCGAAGTCCTGAGCAAGTGCAGATTGACTTTGGTCCTCTGGGAACCTTGACCTTTCAGCTGCTGCACATCTTGCCTTTCGACTCCATCCGGAAACGAATGTCGGTGGTGGTGAAACACCCAATTTTAAACAAAGTTGTAGTGTACACAAAAGGGGCAGATGCTGCCATAATGAATTTGCTGGACATGGAATTAACAGGTAGGGTAATGCTGCCAAAGACTTCTGTCCTCAATTTTTTTTTAATTATTCCTATCAAACAAATGTTGTGTAGAATGTGAGAAATGGTGATTTATGTAATAAATTGCAATAATGATCCATTTAAATAGTTATTAACATTTACCTAACAACAAAAGAACGGACCAGTTTTCCCAGTGGGGGGAATGGGAACCTTTTGATTCTGTTAGATCTTTCAAATGCCTTTGATACCATCAATCTTTATAACATTCTGGATAGTCTTCAAGAGTTGAGAATGGGAGTCACTGCTTGCAGTATTTTGTTTCCTTCCTTTGCTGGTAGCTCCAACAAGTCTAGGGGGAAAGGTTGAGCCTTAGGGCTCTCTATGGGGTACCACAGGATTCAACACTGTCTCCCCTTCTATTTAACATCTGCATGAAGCCTCTGGAAGAGGTCATTCATCAGCACAAGGTCAGGTATCATCAGTATGCCGATGGTACCCAGCAATACATCTTAACTTTTAGCCAAAGAGAAGGTGAGGTTTCATTTGGCTGGTGTGGGTCTTCCGGGCTGTGTGGCCGTGTTCTGGAAGTTTTGTTTCCTA